CCCACAAGCCACCGAGAAGATGCTGGCTTCGCCCGTCCATCCGCTCCTCTGGCTGCTGGGCTGCACGCTCGTCCGAGGTGAGACGCTCTGCTCACACCCCCGGGAGGGTGAAGCGGTGCTGGGTGGGGGGATTTGGGGAGCCTGGCTTCACAGGGGGCACCAAAGGGAACCGGCCAGACGTTCAACCGTGTAGTAGCTGCCGTGGGAAAGCTCAGCCTTTAAATTCAGAGGTGGCAGGAGTCAGGTTGCTGAGAAAAATGCAGCCATCCTAGGTTGATGGGGTTTATTTGACAGCGCTAGGATAAAAGACCTTGTTTCCTGGTTAACACAAGGAGTGTTTCTGCTGAGGGTTAGGATGCCGAGGCGCTTTGTGGTAAATACGCCAAAGAAGCATAAAGGTAGAACGTTTATATGTGCAGGACATTATTTTCCTCAAAGGTATTTTTTCCTTGGCTGATTTTGATTTTCCCTCTCGTCGATACAAATGCAAGGACAGGCGCGAGACTGGTGCGGAGCGCGCCTCGTCCCTAGTGCGATCGCTCTGCTCCTTCGTGATAATTCTGCTCTAACTCCTCTTTCCCACGTGAGTCGCGGTGTGGGACGAAGGAACCGGTTTCCTGCTCCGACGGGTGACAGGTTGTTTTTTCCTGCGTCGCCAGGCACCTCTTGCGCCGCCGACAGCGGTAGGAGCTGAGGAGCATTCAAAGCCATAGGGGCTGCACCACCACCCGCCTAGAAGTAGCGTGTCCCCAACCCGAAGGCTTTGCCATTAAACCGTAGAAGTTTTTATCGTTCCACTGTAGAAGTTGCCCATGGGTTGCAGTCACTGTGCTGGTAATAACAGGATTTGTGAAAAGGCGGAGAATCTGGAAACCAGTTCAGTTGGCAGCGGTGTGATTCTGAGAAGAGGACACGGATTGGAAAATTTCTCTCTTCATTAGAGGGCAACACTGCTGGCTTCAGCGGAGGGGGGGATCGTGCCCGGTCTCAGGCAAGGGGCTGTGAGGCTCCTCGGCCATGCTGCTATGCTGACAGGGGGCTGAATAGGAGCCAGCAAGGTACCCAGGTAGCCAAGAGGGCCAGCGGCATCCTGGCTTGTATCAGGAGTGTTGTGGCCAGCAGGAGCAGGGCAGGGACCGTGCCCCTGTGCTGGGCACTGGGGGGGCCGCCCCTCAAATGCTGGGGTCAGGGTTGGGCCCCTCCCTCCCCGAAGGACCTGGGGGGGCCGGAGCGTGTCCAGAGAAGGGGCGGGGGGC